TAGGTTGTCTGTGATGGTTTATTATGACATTTGGTTGTCTGAGGTGGTATATTATGCCATTAGAATAAAGGGGGGGGGGGTTACAGGTTGATAATTCATTGCTGTCACACTAGGGTTACCCAGTGTGGTGAACTCATTCTGCCACACTCCCATTATTCCGACTTTCCCCGTGGACCTCACTGAGTCTGTAAGCTCTGGTGACACTCTGCTCTTGTGGCAGCCTGATCTGGTGACACTCTGCTCTTGTGGCAGCCTGCTCTGGTGACACTCTGCTCTTGTGGCAGCCTTCTCTGGTGACACTCTGCTGAGATGGCAACCTAGTTTGTTTGCGACTTTCTCTGGTTGCAACGCAATCTTATGACACTGATTTGACCCATGACAGCCTGCTCTGGTGACAATCTGCTCTATCTGGTGACACCCTGTTCACGGGTTGAAACCTGCTGTGGTGGAACCTGATCTTGTGACACCCTGTGGATTTGAGCAAACACTGTCAAAATTGCAATTTTCCAATTTGTGTCATCCCATGTGAGGGTGTCACCCGGCGCGGTCCGCATCCCTCAGTGACCCTACTGCTTAAAATAACTTGTGAACATTTGAAAATGGAAAATAAAAAAATGCATCTGAGTGTTTTCTAGAATCTTCTTTATTTAAAATTTTAGATTAGGTTATATATTTTTTTCATTTGAAAATGCATTTGGTCATTTGAAGGAAAAGTTTATACAAAGCTGAAGCCAAAGCTTAAGAAATCGTACTTAGTTTTTTGGCTTCAGAAGAAATGTTCATGTCACTATTTTTGACAGCTTCGTGCTGCTTTACTACAAGCAATGGAATGTAATCCATATCTCTGAAATTGTTGATTTAAGAGTTTTGTTAAGTTGCCTTAAACCGATACCAAACAAAGTGCACACATTTACAAACCTCATCCAGACCATTTAGTAGCCATAATAAAGGGATGTAAATTTAAATAACGATTATTGATGGGTGTCTACACAGGGGGGGGGGGGGGCATTTGCTTTCAATCTGAGCCCCCCCCCCCGCTTGCCTTTTGTTTTTTCAAACAAAGTGCACACATTTAAAAACCTCATCCAGACCATTTAGTAGCCATAATAAAGGGATGTAAATTTAAATAACGATTATTGATGGGTGTCTACACAGGGGGGGGGGGGGCATTTGCTTTCAATCTGAGCCCCCACCCTCGCTTGCCTTTTGATTTTCTCCATGTAACAAAATTAATATGTGAAATAAAACAGTATAATACCTTACTATTTTTTCATTATGTCTTATTTTATTTGGGGGTGGGGGGATTTTTGTAAAGTAGGAAATAAGTATAAAATAATTACCAAGTTTAGGCGGGAAATTGACTCGATTAAATTTTAAGAATTTAAAAAAAAAAAAAATCAACAAACAAACAAAAATTATAGGGCTATTAAATTTTGTGTTCAAATTTAATTCGCTTTTTTACTGAATAGCCAACAAAGTTCTAAAAAAAAAGTTAACTAGGAATAGGTTTATATTGCCAAGGGGGTGGTGGCCGACAAAACCCTTGAGAACCACTGCTCTATGTGTTAATTATCCCCGGGCAGTGTATTACGAACAAGGCTGTTCCAACGAAAAGTTGAGACCGGGCCAAAGAATGAATTTCCGTGCACCCCTTTTGAAAAAAAATTGGAAACAAACAACACGCGCCATCTCATTAAACCTTTTCACATCCCAAACACTTTCCTTGGACCACGCGGATCTCCGGACCCATGCATTTCCAACGGACTTAAATGCGTTTCTTCCAACCTACGCAATCTAAGGAACACATCTTTTTTTAAAAAATATATATTTCCCAAACTCCATCATAATTATCGACATCTCTCCGCTTATGACAAACAACATCGCTTTACTACACTAAGGATGTGGGTTTGTATGCCCTTCCAAGTGTTTGTATGTGTCTGTCTGTGTGTCTGTCTGTGTGTCTGTTTGTTTGGTGTGTAATTTATTATATAAAAAGGACGAAATGAAATGACTATCCTTAACGCATGCTATAATTATTTATGCTTCTGGTCACGATTAAACATATGTTTGAATATTTTATTTCATCAGCGGTTCTAAAACTGAGAACCATGAACAATGCCTACCTATAGGAGTCACAAAACGCAATGAATAAGCTGCGTAAAGTAGTATTTATAAGTACAGATGAGTTTTGGAACGGTATTAATTCAACAGTGGCCCACTGTGGTGCCAGCGTACGCTCACGTGATAAAAGTTAAAGCAGTTTAAGAACCTCTGTCTTACGAGAACATGCCCACACATAAATGAGGCCAAGGGCTGTTATCCCGTGGCATCTGATCTGTTGGAACGTTAATTTTCAGTTGAATATTGATCGAGTTAGCGCAGGTAAGCTCATCTTGAACGATTGAGTGCTGTCACAAACATGTTTAACCCCTCTTCGCTAACCATTTCCACTTTCCTACACAGTCGAGAGAGCTTATCATAACAAGTGTGGCGCTACACACAATAATAAAATAATACCCACTATAGCAATGGTCGTCTAGGCTATTTAAAATTATTTGTAAACTACATAGCTTTTCAACCAAAGCTTTCTTTTTAAAAAGAAATACTTCAAAGAATTTTACTCTTAGAGTAATTGATTTTTTAATCATTTTTATTTTAAAATCTATGCAAAGATCTTACATTTTTTAAAGGTATACATTAATTAATTTCCCATAATTTTAATGCTACCGGTACTAAACATTGCCTTTGTATTTACAGATATAATTATGTCCACTTCTGATGAGAATGTAGGCGACCATAGAAGGGAAGGAAACAGTCGTTCAGATGTCATTCATGATAATTCCCAACACACTGTGTTTGCTGGCAACACCGTTAGGGAATATGGCGTTGAAGTAATCACGACCGGCCATAATGGTCTGGTGACGTCTCTTCCGGCGGAGATGCCTCGTAATGACGTCACTGGTCATCACACTCACTTCGCCGTTGCTGCTTCCAACGGTGATGGCTACCAGACCATCACTTCTCCCTTCACATCGAGGTCCAAGTCTCGACATCGCAAATACAATGAGAACTTTGATTCTGCCAAACAATTTGTGAAGTCCCAGACGTTTATCTTGTCGACGCATAGCACGATAGAGTCAGAGGCGTATACAATGCAAATGAAATGTGGGTGAGTTGTGCTTAGAGTTAGGATGTTCTCATGTTGATGTATTGGTGCTCTCATGGTGGTCTCTTATGCTCTCATGTAGTTCCTTGTATGCTCTCATGTAGTTCGTTGTATGCTGTTATGTAGTTCCTTGTATGCGCTGATGTAGTTCCATGTATGCTCTCATGTAGTTCTTTGTATGCTCTCATGTAGTTCATTGTATGCTCTCATGTAGTTCCTTGTATGCTCTCATGTAGTTCCTTGTATGCTCTCATGTAGTTCTTTGTATGCTGTCGTGCAGTTCTTTGGGTATTTTTAACGTGCTCTCATGGAGCTGTCATGGTGTTCTTTAACTCAATCACCTCAAATCATATGATTCAATATTAAACTTTTTTTAAATGTCATGAGATTATGCATTATATTAATTACGCCTGTATCATCGCATGCATAATATTCCAACGTTTTTGTTTTGGCCTGGGAAATCAATGGATTCGCTGCTTATCGCGTAGTTAAGTGTCAAAGTGGCAATGTAAAACTGCTGTGGCCACTATGTTTTATTGTTGTGAGAGGTTATAACGCCAGCCAATATGTTACCACAGCTCACTGCGGCTATGTTCGGGGACTGGTGTAGCGGTGATGACGACCACATTAGGTAGGCACATAATTACAGCAGTTTTTGTCACTTCTGTTCTGTGAAACACGCCGATCACGCTAGCCTTTAAGTGCGGCAAATTAGCCGCACATGGTCAGGCAGTGTTGACAACTCATTTTATTTTCAGTTTTACATAAAAAGAGGGATTTTAAAGACATTTTGACTTTTCCAAAACACAACTCTAAAATTGTTTCTAAACGTGTTTCCGATTGGTATTATTTCTTACGCGTTTCCACTTTAGATTAAAGAATCGACCTAACCGAGGTTTTAAATTATTTACATCAAGGTAAATGAGACTTCGACGGCAATCCACTTCAAAAAAAAACTTCTTACGACAAAAAGGGAAAAGGCATAATAACCTTAAACATGATTATTTTCCCCTCCCACACTTTTTATGTCATGGACATGGTGCAGAGAGTAAACTGTACCGTTCCACAATGCATACAAGGATATGGAGAAGTGTTTCAAAAAGGAATAAACGAACATTGGGTGGCTTGACAATTAGTGTTGAAACTATTTAACGATCAATAATTCATGGTGCACAGAAGTGGGTATTGAACACAACAAAATACTGGCTCTTGTAAGCTGAAATTCTAAATTCGTATCATTTGTTAATGTTTATAGATCTAATTATTTAAATAAATGTCTGTAAAGATGTATCTGTAACGAAAATAAATGTTGGTCCACAAATTAGCATTTTCTCTGTCATAAAGACATGCACTCTTTCACAAATGCATTCTTTTACATACCATTTCATTTCATAATAAATAGAGAATGTCACAGTTTACTCTCTGCACCAAATATAAGCTACATCTCTGCACTAAACAAATGCTACATCTCTGCACTACACACATGCTACATCTCTGCACTAAATATATGTTACATCTCTCCACTAAATATATGCTACATCTCTGCACTAAATATGTGCTACATCTCTGTACTAAATATATGCTACATCTCTGCACAAAATATATGTCACAACTCTGCCCTAAATATATGCAACATCTCTGCACTAAATATATGTCACATCTCTGCACTAAACACGTGTTACATCTCTGCACTAAACACATGCTACATCTCTGCACTAAATATGCTACAAAGAACAACTACAACTTGATAATTAACATTTTTAGTCACCAAATACAATGATTAAACAGTGGGTCCCAGCAAGTACAATCATGTAACATCGGGTTTAACGTATGAACTGTTTGAGAAAATGCTGAACAAGCTTCTAGCATTGCTACACTGATTTAATGTCAAGCTTCTAGCATTGCTACACTGATTTGATGTCAAGCTACTAGCATTGCTACACTGATTTGATGTCAAGCTTCTAGCTTTGCTACACTGATTTGATGTCAAGCTTCTAGCATTGCTATACAGATTTGATGTCAAGCTTCTAGCATTGCTATACAGATTTGATGTCAAGCTTCTAGCATTGCTACACTGATTTGATATCAAGCTTCTAGCATTGCAAAACTGATTTGATGTCAAGCTTGTAGCATTGCTACGCTGATTTGATGTCAAGCTTCTAGCATTGCTACACTGATTTGATGTCAAGCTTCTAGCATTGCTACACTGATTTGATGTCAAGCTTCTAGCATTGCTACACTGATTTGATGTCAAGCTTCTAGCATTGCTACACTGATTTGATATCAATCTTCTAGCATTGCTACACTGATTTGATATCAAGCCTCTAGCATTGCTACACTGATTTGATGTCAAGCTTCTAGCATTGCTACACTGATTTGATATCAAGCTTCTAGCATTGCTACACTGATTTGATGTCAAGCTTCTAGCATTGCTATACAGATTTGATGTCAAGCTTCTAGCATTGCTACACTGATTTGATGTCAAGCTTCTAGCATTGCTACACTGATTTGATGTCAAGCTTCTAGCATTATTACACAGATTTGATGTCAAGCTTCTAACATTGCTACACTGATTTAATATCAAGCTTCTAGCATTGCTACACTGATTTGATGTCAAGCTTCTAGCATTGCTACACTGATTTGATATCAAGCTTCTAGCATTGCTACACTGATTTGATGTGAAGCTTCTAGCATTGCTACACAGATTTGATGTCAAGCTTGTTAAGACATTTTAATTACTTGACTTGATTGGTTTATTGTTTGAGGTGATATGGAGGTTTGGGTTGGAAATTATGGGGGTTGGAGGTTTTGGTTTGCAGTGATGGGGGTTTGTAGTTGACGGTTTTGGTTGACAGTTACTGGTTTGGTAGTTGGGGGTTTTGGTTAGCAGTGATGGGGTTGGTAGTTGAGGGTTTTGGTTGGCAATGATGGGGTTGGTAGTTTAGGGTTTTGGTTGTCAGTGATGGGGTTGGTAGCTGCGGGTTTTGGTTGGCAGTGATGAGGTTGGTAGTTGAGGGTTTTGGTTGTCAGTGATTGGGTTGGTAGTTGGGGGTTTTGGGGTTGGGAGTTAGGGGGCTGAACGTGATATAATTTTGGCATGTCCTTGAACTTATTAAAACCGAAAATTAAAATAAAGAGTGGTCACATAGAAACTAAATATCCCATACACAGGGGCTGCTATTTTATGTGTCATTCAAAGCAATGTTCCCTTTAAGATGCGCGGCTGCGCGGCCGCGCAGCTTTCTCACAGACGCAGGAACTGTGAGTATCAACGCAGCAAATTTCTATAAAAACAAATTGGAACAGATACGATTCACTCTGTAGCCGTAATTATACAGTTTTCTTTAATAAAATATACATCCATGTTTTTAAATTTGATTCAGATCTATATGTTTGTCTTCTACTTTTTACGTAGAACTATTGGTTTACATACTTACCGATACAAACCGGATAAGGATAGCCTCGTTCTGAACCACCGCCGCCTTTTATGTAAATTTCGTGGCGCGTACTGCGCAGTGAATAAAGTAAATAAAAATCACATAATCTATAGTTTATTATAAATGTAGTAGCTAATTATTTTTAATAATGTTTTAACCGTTATTTTTAAAAGGCGAACTGTCAGCGTCACCGCTTGCTAAGAAAAAATGTCGATCAAATTTTGAAACGGAATGGCTCAGTGAATTTATGTATGCAGCACTACCAGATTTGTCGTCAGAACGCACTGTCAAGCTGTGTGATATTTTTAAATATTGTGAAATCGCTGATGATATTGTTTGTGAAATGTGCTTCAAAGGTAATTCAGGTGGTTATTTCTCCAAAGGGAAAAGGTGTGGCGCTTGGAGGCTGGATTATCTAAAACGACCTGTCAAGCAAAATGTACACACAGAGGCTGTTCAAAGACTTCGTTCTATAGAGTCAAGGGGCTAAGTATGCCCCGTACCCTGATAGAAGGCGCTGTAAGAATTATGCTTTTGAGTTTGTTGATTCTATCGATTCTGTAGTGAAGGATGCTATAATCGGCGAACTTCGCAATGCAAAGTTCCATGAATTAACAGTAGATGAGAGCACTGATATATCGCTGACAAAAAAGTTGATTTTATACTCGAAATTTCGACCATATCCCGGTAACGTTTCTAATACAGTGTTTGTTGGAATTTTGTCTCTGTCGGCATGTGACAGTAAATCTGTGGAATCAGCAATAACAGAGTTTTATCAAGAGAACTCATTGGACATGCAGAAAATGATTATGTATACAAATGATGGTGCATCGGTTATGCTAGGCAAGAACAATGTTATAGTTGCAGCAATTCTTCGCCGACGTATTCCACATCTACTGGAACAACATTGTGCTGCTCATCGTGAATATTTATGCATCGGTGATGGTTGCAAACATATACGTTTAATGGCAGACATTGAAACATTCCTTAGGACAGTGTACACATTGTTCAGTAGGTCGACAGTAGGGAAAGCCCTGTTTACAACACTGGCTAAGGTGTTTGAATGTGATTCTGTAGCCTTCAGACCATTGAATGAAATCAGATTAGCGGCACTTTGCTTTAAGACCATTGCTGAGAAACATACGAGTGTTAACTGAATACTGTGAGGAGCATGTGGCCCTGTATATTGATCCAAATCATAAAAACTGTTTCAAGAAACTAAGGGATCCACAGTTTCGAACTGCACTGCACTGATTGTCTTTGATGAAGTTGTTGGTGATCTTGCTGAGCTATAAAAGCTGCCACAAAGAAAACATCTTTAGCCATCGAGGCATACCAGTTTCTAAATACAAGGATCGCTAAGCTCCGTGCCCAGTACCTTGGAGAAAATGTGTACTGCTCCGAAGAGGTTGCTGAATTGCTTGCATATGACGAGAATAGAAACATAAATTCCATCGTAAAATTCGTTGAAAGTTTATATTTGCAGATGGACTCTCGTTTCTCTGAAGTGAGTTGATGCAATGGCGAATCTTTGAGATATCAGCATTAATTGACACTTCAGATTTTAAGAAGAACTTGCAGCACTGGTTTCTAGATATGCGGCATTCCTGGAAATCCATGATGACACTCCTGCCGAAAGTTAAGGATCAGTATCGTAACTTAAGGTTTGTGCTTGCAGAAAAAATAAAATGTAGGTTGATGGAGAGTTTCGACGAGATGGTTCGATTTGTGATAAATGAGGAGCAGTTCGGCGACATTGCCATTCTGTTGGACATTTGTGCTACATTTCTTGCGCCGATTGTGAACGTGGATTCAGCCTAATGAATAATATAAAATAAAATCTAGAAATAAACTGGAAGAGTTACATCTATTTATGCTTATGAGGAATAAATCGTATCAGAATCATGGACATCAGATCAACCTTGACGATATGTATAAAAGATGGACATCGTTGACAGACAGACGCTAGAGTACGTCTAGAAATGATTCCATCAAATGACTAGCGGCCATTGGTTGTAGGTGTGTTGGAATTTAGATGCTTGACCCAACGAACGGATATAAAATAATATAGAAATAAATAAAGCTTTGATTAAACTATTGTGACATTTCTGATTATAATTATTTAATTATAGTTCCTTTCTTTATGTATATGAAAGTTTTTGCACTTAAATTCATTTATGTAATTTCCGTGTGTGTGTGCGTTTGTAGGCTGTAAAGTTTTGCACACAAAAAAAATGATGCTGTAAAACTTTGCACACAACTGTATGATTTTGCACACGAACCAACAAACCTCAGAGGGAACATTGATTCAAAGGTGCTACTATATATGTCATACAAAGGGCAACTATAGGTGTCATACAAAGGGGCAGCTATATGAGTCATACAAAGGGACAGCTACATGTGTCACACTAAGAATAACTACATGTGTCATACAAAAGGGAAAGTATTTGTCTCATATAAAGGGGCAATTATATGTGTCACGCAAAGAGCGTAGTTTATGTTTCATACAAAGAGGCATCTACATATCAACATGGTGTAGCTAAAATTATCATTAAAATATATCTTAGAATTTAAAAAACAACAACATTTCATTGAATTTTTCTCTGTACAGCAACTTACAGACTTTGATGAATCTCATCAAGGGCACAGCCGGAACTGGAATTCTCTCTCTTTCACTGGCCTTCAAAAATAGTGGATTGTGGGTAAATAGAATGCTAGAAGATTAAAATTAATTCGACATTTCTAGCCGATGCAACTCTTAAAGTCTTAAAATAATGACCGCAAGGCTTTGAAAATAAATTATTTTCTTTTTGGTTTTTGATATAGTTGTAAATGATATAACAGGATATTAACTACGGATTCAAGGATGATTGAATTATTTTGGTATTTTGTGTTTAAGGACGTTTAATTTTGTGTGTGCATGTGTGTGTAACTGAATGGCCATGGCCCTAATTGTTCGTTGATCCATTATATTTTTTGAAAGTAATTACAGGCTTGCTTTTTAAAAATACATTTAAATAATTACACTGCAGAAATCGGTAACATTTCATTCCAGAATAATTTATTCCTATTTCTTCAAATATACATTGATTTTAAAGAACGTCTTTTCATTATTAAAAAAAAACCATGCACACCAGGTTGGCCTCGCATTGTTTTTACTGATCGCTCTCGTGGCCATCCACGGCATGCACATCTTGAACCGATGTTCGGAAATTTTAGAGAAAAGGTGAGTAGTTCATGCAAATCTAAGCACATTTTTTATGGTCCATCAATGCTCTGACTGTCTTGTTTACAGATAGATTACTCATAGCCTCTAATCAGAATAAAATAATGAATTGAGAAATTAATACATTAAAATTGAAACGTGCAAGCTTCACCATAGCAGTGTTGAGAAATAAATAGTGAAATGTCGCAATGTGATATTTAAATTTTAAAAATTATGTTGAACTATTCTTCTTTATTAAAAAATTAGCTGTTTTCAAAATACAATAAAAGTTATTTTTCAACAATGCTCCATGTAACACATTATATAGCACAAGTATTTAGCTGGTTAAGTCAATGAAGACATTTTATTTGGAGGCAAGTCAAACGTTATTTATTTTTTGGAAGCTAGCTAAGTGTCAACTATGTTATAGAATCTAGCTAAGTGTCATCTATGCTAAGGAAGCTAGCCAATCTTTATCTGTGCTATAGAGGCTAGCTAAGCGCCATATAAGCTGCGGAAGCTGATATTTCCTATAGAAGTTAGCCAAACAACATGTGTTATATGGAAGTCAGTTAGGCAAAATGTATGTAGAAGTCTCATGTACACACTATGATTGCACACATAACAGTTAACTAGAAACGAAACTCATTACAACTCCAAGTGATTAAAAAAAAACTCTATGCATTGAACATCTACAGGTCAAATATTCCCATTGTTTCCTATGCTGACGTAGTTGACCAATGTTTTGCTTATGGCCCTAAGGGCGTCCAAAAATATTCCACTGTCTCAAGGTAAGGCAACAAGAGCACTTCCAGGCATGTTTCAGTTTGTTGTCCTAATTAAGTCCAGTTCCATCAACTTGAAACGGTTTAGCATGAAGTGAAACAGGTAGGAGCTTAACAAATGATGTATCCAGCAGCCTGGTTGTAAAACAATCCTTGCCCCCACCCCACCTTACATATCCGCCCCTGCCTCTGTCTGCAACGCATGCTTTAAGCTCAGCTACCCTGACAACTTGCGAGCCTAAATGAAACTAATACACCATCCCTGTGGCGCTACAGCCCATGTAGGGCTTTGAGATGTGCCGAAACGTTTACTTGAGTATTATGTAAAATTATTATTAAAGCTTAAATAATATTGTTACATTGACACAAATTGTTGGTGTCTAATTAATCTATTTTAAAGGTTTAGCGGAGTCCAACACTTTTTATAATTAGTTAATTAAACTTAATTCTGACTGCTAAGGCATGTGCCGAAACGTTTACTTGAGTATTATGTAAAATTATTATTAAAGCTTAAATTATATTGTTACATTGACACAAATTGTTGGTGTCTAATTAATTCATTCTCTGGTTTAAAAACCCAGAATGGACCGACGGCTTCTTTCTTCACAGCAAATCCTGTTCAAAGAGTGTTCGTGTTTTTGCCACTATAAAATATGGTGTAGTCTTTTGTCTTGAGGATCTCTACATTTTCCATTGAATTTCGTGCAATGCATCAATAGAGATTTTATATTTAATTTGCTGATTTATTAGGTTGGCTATGGTTCCTGCTCTAAATAGGTTTAGTACGTTCCAAGTCGCAATTAAAAAATCATGTCCATATCCAGACATGGATCAATTTCAATTAGATTCAGTCCAGGTTTTACTTTGTTATTTGGCTTTCGTAACGTTTTTTAAAATTTTATTTACATGGTCGGGTTGTTATCCCTGCGCTCAGCCGTCTCGGGGGGGGGGGGGGGGGGTTGCCCCTTACAGCTCTCTAGATAACTGCCTTAATTTTCGGGTGAGGTGCCCTAGCCCTAGCCTTTGTGTATCCCTCCACTTCCTACAGGGCGGTAGGTTCTGGGGAGACGCTCGATGGAGAATCAGTATCTATGCACGAGTAACTGAAACTAACCTTGACCTATTTTCCTTGCACTTTCAGACACGTCATCAATGTTTTCATCAATATAATGCAGTGTGGCTTCTGCTGCATTTACATCGTGTGGGTGTCGGTCAACATCAAGGAGGTAACCAGTCATCTCAATGTCCTTTCACAGATACCAGTGTTGCAGTTTGAGAAACTTTAATTAAACCGACGCCACGTTGAATTAGAAGGCAGTTTATCATAACATTTAATAGATCAAACTTCTCGGTAATTTATTCCGATGTCAGATTAAAGTTTTGAAATCTGACTATATCCAAGTCTGAATATATCCAAAATCTGACTAAATCCAAACTCTGATCATATCCAATCTGACTAGATCCAAATCTGACTATATCCAAATCTGAATAAATCCAATTCTGACTAAATCCAAAATCTGACTATATCCAAATCTGACTAAATCCAAATCTGACTATATCCAAAGCTGACTATATCCAATCTGACTATATCAAAATCTGACTAAATCCAATTCTGACTAAATCCAAAATCTGACGATATCCAAATCTGACTAAATCCAAATCTGACTAAATTCAAATCTGACTATATCCAAAGCTGACTATAACCAAATCTGACTATATCCAATCTGACTAAATCCAAATCTGACTATATCCAAATCTGACTAAATCCAAATCTGACTATATCCAAAGCTAACTATATCCAATCTGACTAAATCCAAATCTGACTAAATCCAAATCTGACTAAATCCAAATCTGACTAAATCCAAATCTGACTATATCCAAAGCTGACTATATCCAAGTCTGACTAAACTTAGCATAGTTAACCCGTTGTCATGGAAATCTTCGGTTTAAACCATCAAATAAACAAAATGCCTTGCCCTTCCCCTAAAAAAAGTGTTCCTGTGTAGAAACTACTTAAGTCATTTATCACGTCTGCTAATCCCTTGTCTCCTATCAGGTTTTAGATTACCATTGGTCATCCAGCCCAGATGTCCGTGTCTACGAAACGGTGATGTTTCTGCTCCTCGTGCCGTACCTGATGATCCAGAGTTTAAGGACCCTCGCCGTGTTTTCGGCCATTGCCAACCTCCTCTATCTTGTGGGATTGGTCGTTATCTTCCAGTACATTCTAAGGGTAGGTTGGTTCTAAATAATAAAACAATGTTATGAATTTGATAGGAGAATAAGTGAGCATCCTCACTCTGACAGGGTTTCTTTCAGGTATAGCTTCGGGAGAGGGGGCAGTGCCTCCCCGAGGAAAGCCAAGTGCCCCCCACCCCGGAGCAAAAATATGTCCAACAAAAAATAAACTGGAACTGCTGGCACTGCCCCCCCCCCAAAAAAAAAAATCTGAAGTGCCCCCCCCCCCCCGAAAATCTGAAGTGCCCCCCCCCCCCGGAGGGGAAATTTCTGAAAGAAACACTGCTCACTCATCAGTAAATTGTAAGTCTATAGTTGAAAAAACAGCCAAAAACAGTAAGTCCTTATTACACTCTGTATTTTAAAAGCTTATTTCTTGACTTGATTTAGGTTGCATGTTTTTTGGTGAGGTACTATTGAGGCGTGGTAGGCAAGGTTTTTTTTTGGTGAGGATGATCTTTTGTGTATGCATATCGCCATCATTTAATCTTTAAACGGTAGGTGGATACTCAATTTACTAATTCCGAAATATTTGAAAGTGGAACTTAATTATTATTTTTTTTAAGTATTTTTTTTTTACTTCTAGAATTTAGATTGAAATTCAAAGATTTAAATCCAGTGAAGTAAATGTATCACACATGTATTGTCCATCATTCCAGTGTTACATCCTGTCAACTCCTCTGATCTACTGGATTGATTAATTCGTCAAGTTCTTTCACACGTTGAATACGTCCTACTATTCGTACTATCACTGAATAAACTTAAGTCCTTTTCATAATAATTATAACTTTAATATCTAAGTAAATACTATACACATAAACACATGAATGTTTCGCAGCTCGCTATCAGACATAAATAATACACATCCTACTTCCACAAAGTTCCACTCAAAGACTGCCGCACGACTAAAACTTACGTCACAATACTGTCTAGAGCAGCGGTTCTCAACCTGTGGGTCGCGACCCCCTTGGGGGTCACGGCACCCTTTCACGGGGGTCGCCAAAGACCTCTGGGAAAACACACATTCCCGGTGATGATGGTCTTAGAAACCGATTGATTTGGTCCAGCGGAAAAATCAGACATGTCACAAATTTTCATTTGTTTGTTATCACTGTCCACAGAAGAATAGATGATATGTCTATTGATATTCTTGATCAGGTAATCCATGAAATTAAATCTGCTCCACTTCCAATATTTAGTATCCAGCTTGATGAATCTACAGACGTTGCAAACTGTTCACAGTTACTAGTTTACGTGAGGTATATTAATGATGGCGGCTTTAAAGATGAGTTTCTTTTTTGCAAACCTCTGGAAACAACAACTACTTCACGTGATGTATTTGACACAGTTGGTTTATTTCTGAAAGATCACACGATCTCTTGGGAAAAGGTGTTGTGGTGTTTGCACAGATGATGCTCCAGCTATGCTAGGATGTCGATCTGGATTTCAAAGTTTGGTACAAAATGAGTCACCAAAAGTCATGGGAACTCACTGATTGATTCATCGGCAAATATTAGCTACGAAGACGCTGCCACAAGAGTTACAAGAAGTAATGAAAAGCGTCATAAGTTCTGTCAATTTTGTAATGGCGAGCACTTTAAACAGTCAACTGTTTTCGCAACTGTGCAACGAGTTGGATGCGTCGAACAATGCTCTGCTATTTCACACTGAAGTCAGATGGTTGTCGAGAGGAAAAGTTTTGAAACGTGTTTTTGAGCTTCGTGATCAACTCAAAACGTTTTTTAATCAGAAAGCAAAACCACAGTTCGAAGCACTTTTTAGTGATAAAAGTGAACTGCTGAAAATAGCTTGTTTGGTTGACATCTTTGCCATCTTAAATGAGTTAAATTTATCACTGCAAGGACCAAATGCAACATGCCTCGATTTGTCTGAAAAGATGCGATCATTCTAAATGAAACTTCAGCTTTGGCAAACAAAATTGGATGAAAATAAAATTGACATGTTGCCTGTCTTATCTTCGTTCTTTGAGGAACATAACATTGAACCAGAAAAAAGACTTACGATGGTCAACTCTGTGAAGGAACACTTGCACACGCTTGCAGACGAAATTTCATTGTATTTTCCAAATTTACCTGACACCCCACTTGCACTTGCCAGAAGCCCTTTCACAGTCAAAGTTGAAGATTTCCTGAGTCAGCACAAGAGAAGTTCATTGAACTTATTAACAGCGATGCAGCGAGAACTGATTTCTCTACAATGCCAGTTACAAAATTCTGGATCACGTGTTTGCAGTCATATCCTGTTATGTCTGAAACCGTGTTGCGCCTTCTTCTTTCATTTCCAACAACATATCTTTGTGAAACAGGGTTTTCCAGCTTGTTGGTTATCAAGTCTAAATACAGCAGTAGACTTGTTGTGGAAGACGATCTTCTTGTGCTCTTGCAAAGACTGCCCCGAGCATTTCTGATCTGGTAAGAAAAAAACAACCTCAAACTTCGCACTGACGTTGGCTTTTTACGCATACTGTCTCAAAATGTAGCAGTGTAGTTTACTGTTTTTATATCAAGACTGCTACCCATGCTACACCATGCTTCAAGACAAAAATCTCATTATTTTGTAATTAGAAATACATATTTCACAATATTTTTATTACCTGTTGTTTTTTGTGATTAATGACTATGCTTTAATTATGTTCAGTTTGTAACAATGAAAATGAATCCTGCATATCAGATATTTACATTACGATTCATAACAGAAGCAAAATTACAGTTATGAAGAAGCAACGAAAATAATTTTATGGTTGGGGGTCGCCACAACATTATGAACTGTATAAAGGGGTCGCGGCATTAAAAAGGTTGAGAACCACTGATCTAGAGTCTAGACAATACGTCACAGTCAGCATAAAAATACGTCAAAGAGTCAAGCGCGGGAAGAGCGTTCACTAAATAATAGAACTCTCAACACACCGCGCGTAATCAAATATAATATCCAGTCGCAACTATTGCTAATGAACTCCCATACTTGACACATCCCATGTAAGAAATTTCAAAATTGGGAACGTTAAAGCATATTAAATATTCCTGAAAAAGTTTTACGAATGTTAATGTAAGTTATTATCTTTACAGGACCTTCCCGATGCCAGCAGAAGACCCGCCTTCGCCTCGTGGTCCACCCTGCCTATGTTCTTTGGGACCTCTGTGTTTGCGTTTGAGAGTATATGCTTAGTAAGTGAGGATCACCGTGGTTACGATTTTGTAGAGAGTATGGAAGAAAATATGTTCGGCTAACGTCATATAAAGCCTTCCAGGCAATGGCGTAGCTAGATTTGTACTGCTTGGGGCGGGCGAAGATTATTATTACCGCTCATCGCCCCCCCCCCAAGAAAAACTCTGCAGTAGTAAAAAAAAAATGCTGCTCCTCAATAAACAGAAAAAAGGGCCGCCATGGGTGGATCACCCCCTCCGCTCCCCAGTTCCTGCACTTTTGCCCCCAGATGACTTGGTGACGTCGTTCTTGTGTTCACTTGTTAACTGCAGCTCTGGGGAGAAGTCTCACCATACTCAAGAGTCGTAGATTTATTGCTCCGAATCATGATTAAATATGTAAAAATTAAAAGGGGTATGGAATTAGTCTTGTGACTTCAATGATCAATCTAGCTTTAGCCAAGCCATTAGCCCAGGGATCTCAAACTCGCGGCCCTACCAGGCAGCAAAATTTAGTGTTAATACGGACCGCACGTTTTCTCCATTCTCATATCTATAATGTGACCCTCCGCGATTGTTTTAGTCGAATCTCAGCGACTAGTCTACTTCTGATATTTATTATGTTTGTATAGGTTTGGACGTTGATTATAACGGTAAAATCAGAGTAAACGTTTACATTTATAACATTTCACGAGACAAACATGGCGGCCAAAATGCGCTTTTGAGAAAAGTTTATTAAAAAGTCACTTAGTGGGTAATGCACAACCATAATTGTGTAAATCGTATCAATCTGACACAGTATCAGAGAATCCCTATTAAAATTGCCGCTAGTGTTTACGAGTGAGGGGAATTCCGAGCCTGTCAGCTTGGTCACTTGTCAATAGGGTTAGTCAAAGAGGCCTTTTCTGCGATTAAAAAAAAATCTAAATTAATTCTCCCTACAATAGCATCTTCCTTGGCAACAATAATTCATACATATTGCCTGTTTCTATCTACTTTTTGAACACGTTTTAGCCTTCATGGTGAAGGGTGGGGTGGTTTTCCCAAATGGCTCAGGGACTTGGCTTTTCTTGTTGACATTACACAGGAGCTGAATGTAATCAACAAGAAGTTATAAGACCATGGGCATCTTTTCAGTGTTGCCTATGACAATGTCAGGGTATTCTGCACAAAACTTTTGTTATGGTTCTCAGAGAAACCTCTGCCATTTCCCAACATATAAATTACTCGAGCACACCATTCAGTAGTAAGTAAACTGATGCCATTGAACCACAGGAAGAATTAAATCCCGTGTTTGCAGACTTCCAAACACACAGAGCGACTTTTCAAATTTTGCTGATTCTTTCTCCTTCAGTGAGGAAGATGCCCCCGCCCCACACACACACACACTTTTTGCGCTTCAAATGGAGCCGATTGATCTTCAGTGCAATTCTGAACTAGATACTAAGTTCAGGAAGATGAACGGAAAAACAGACAAGCTTGGACAATTTATAAGAGAATTGCCCTCCACAAACCCTGAGATTTCCAAGTTGTTCAAGCGAATCATGTGCCTTTTGGGGAGTACCTATCTGTGTGAAAAGCTCAAAGTTCAGAGCCAAATTTACTGATGAGCATCTTCAAGCTATACTGAGGGTCTCAGTTGCTTCTTCACTCAAGCCAAATGTTGCTCAGCTGTGTAATAAGAAGCGCTACCTTGTCTCTGACAACAAGGAGTTGGAGGAAGTAAGTGAAGCCTGGTTTTTGAGAACCCGTAATTTTTTTATTTGTTATTAATAAAGGTTGAGCAGATTGTAGCAGTTGTAATTGAATTTGTAATCGCTTTTTTGTGGAACACTAGATTCGTCCAGTCACCCAGACTCTACCTCATGCGCCCTCCGGATAATTTGAGTTTGAGACCCTTGCATGAGCCCCCATTCAATTTGTAATATATGTATTCTTGGAATTATAGCCGCCGTACGTGTCCTGCGGTTCCAGGAGTCTCAGATATTTAAGGGGCCTAAATTTGTGATTTGGAATTTAAAAGATCAAACTATCAACAGTGAATGCAACGGGCACAAAACGAAAAGTAAGGACCTACAAATGTCTGGCGGCGGCTTGGCTTGGAATCAAACACCGGAAGCGGATTAAAAAAAATACGACCCAGAAGCTCAGGTAACACGCTAAATGAAGTTTGTATGCAGTGGCGTAGCTGGGGGTTTTCCGTGGAAAGGGCGGCAAAAAGCTCGTCACTCTCCGGATCGCATGAACCCTAGCTGTGTAGCTGGTTGTAGGGGTGTGTAATGGGTTACCAATGAATCTGTTATAGATAATTTACTTACACACACACATACACACATTTATATGTATCAGTATTTTGAAGTATGTTTCGTTTAATTGCAGATGACCCCTCTCAGGAGCAAGATGAAAAACCAGGCAGACTTCGATGGGTGGACAGGGGTCATGAACTTGGGTATGGTCATCGTGACTGCTGTGTACACCGCTGTTGGTTTCTATGGTTACCTGAAGTTTGGAGAGGACGTGGAGTCCACCATAACACTTAACCTCCCCCAGAACCAATGGTATGTCAATAAGGAAAGTAAGGGTGTCTAAAATCTTCATATGCCCCAGGGGTGTCTGAAATCTTCATATATCCCAGGGGTGTCTGAAATCTTCATATGCCACAGGGGTGTCTGAAATCTTCATATCTCCTAGGGGTGTCTAAAATCTTCATATGTCCTAGAGGTGTCTGAAATCTTCATATGCCCCAGGGGTGTCTAAAATCTTCAAATGCCCCAGGGGTTTCCTAACATTCAGACAAGAGGATACAGTTAAAACCCTGAAATATTCTTACCTCAATTATCTGTAACGTCTCTTAGAACTTCCGTCATCGGTTTCAAAACTTGACTATCACTATCAATAGGCCCTCCTCAAACATTGACTATCGCTAGGTTGTACTCAACCATTGACTATCGCTAGGTTGTACTCAACCATTGACTATCGCTAGGTTGTACTCAACCATTGACTATCGCTAGGTTGTACTCAACCATTAACTATCGCTAGGTTGTACTCAACCATTGACTATCGCTAGGTTGTACTCAACCATTGTCTATCGCTAGGTTGTACTCAAACATTGACTATCGCTAGGTTGTACTCAAACATTGACTATCGCTAGGTTGTACTCAACCATTGACTATCGCCAGGTTGTACTCCTCGGTGAACTTGATGTTCGCCATCGCCATGTTTATCTCTGTTGGAGTTCAGTTCTACGTCCCCATAAACGTCATCTGGCCGGCCATCCAGACGGGTCTAGTGGTCAACAAATCAAGACTTGTTCATACGGTCACTCACTACCTGGTACGAGGAGGATTGCTTGCTCTCATCTGTAAGCTCAGTTGCTCTCATCTGTAAGCTCAGTTGCTCTCATCTGTAAGCTCAGTTGCTCTCATCTGTAAGCTCAGTTGCTCTTATCTGTAAGCTCAGTTGCTCTGATGTGTAAGCTCAAAACTATAAATTTTTCACTTTACAAGCCTCAACGAATGTGTGTACATTTTGCTATTTGTTTGTAAACAAAACGGGTTAGATTCTTTATGTTAATTTTTTTAGTATTAACACTTTAAAAAATTGTAGAATTTTTTTTTTTACCAAGTCTTAGACGTTTAGGATTGGTTAACCAATTTATCAAATATTTTGTTTTAAAATTTTTAATGTCATTTTCTGATTCTGCCTGGCATTACTTTAATTTCTTCTTCTCCCATCCTTCAGCATTATGTATTACTAAAAACACACGGCTATGGTCATTTTGTGTGTTCTCCCACACTCTTCTATTACTTTAGTTGCTGTGGCCGTCGGGGTGCCCCACGTAGATTTATTGATGTCCCTGGTCGGTTCATTTTTTGGAAGCTTACTGTCCCTAATCGTACCGGTAGGTGTTTACTTAACATTGACATTGAATTAGGTGAAATGGGTTTAGGTAGGTCAGCCGCACGTGGCTACAGTGTGTCAGCCGCACATGGCTACAGTGTGTCAGCTGGCAGGCTACAGTGTGTCAGCTGGCAAGGCCAGGTGTTACTGTAATGATAAAAGCTGAATTTTACCAATATAAATTTTGTATGGAGTGGAGAAGGGGGGGGGGTCGCGCGGATGGTGCGGACCACACTGGGGGACACGCTCACAAGAGTGGGGGTGACACCATTCGGGAAAATTGTGTAGACTCGCTCGAGGTAGGCTTCATAACAGATCAAAGTTACATACAAAATCAGGTTGCCACAGGAGCAGGTTGCAACAAGAGCAGGTTGCCACAAGAGCTGGTTTTCATAAGAGCAGGTTGCAACAAGAGTAGGTTGCAAGAAGAGCAGGTTGCCACAAAAGCAGGTTGCCACAAGAGCACGTTGTTACAAGAGCAGGTTGTCACATGAGCAGGTTGCCAGAAGAACAGGTTGTCACAAATGCATGCATCCATGTGAGCAGGGTGTCATCTGAGCAGGCAGCCTCGAAGAAGGTACATGCGGAAAGTCTAAAGGAGGTGACACCGTGAGTTTAGTGTACTGGATGATACCATCCCTGGTGACACCACTGAATGTGTCCAACTAAAGTAACTAATGAGTTGAGAAGGCAGTCTTCCATGATATTTCCTTGGTCCCGCTGCTTACGGGAAGAACAAACAACTAGCTGTCTGGACTTCAAGTCAATGGCACGGGACTTGCACGTTTAGTCACGGCGTCCATCCCTTTTATTTTTCAGCAAAACAAAAATATAAACTCCTATATATATTGTGCTTCTGGTGTGCCTGCTTCCTTTTCATAACCGGCCCTCGCCCTGCTCAAAATGGTTTATATTAATATTACTGGGTGGGAAGAAAAAAAGGCTGTCAAGCAGCAAGCGTCAAGCGTGACGGTTGAACTCGGGTGAAAAGGTTGAATTTTCTCGGAGGCAACTATTGTATTAATCAATAAAGAGCAACGGCTATGGTGTCGGACTGTCTATAGGCCTATTGTTTAAAGCCCGGCAAGTAGGGTGTAGGACTGTAGACCTATTGTTTGAAGGCAGGTAGTTAGGCTGTAGGACTGTCTGTAGGTCTATTTTTTAGAGGCCGGCAGATAGGGTGTAGGACTGTCTGTTGGCCAATTGTTTAAAGGCAGGCAGGTAGGGTGCAGAACTGTCTGTTGGACTTTTATTTAAAGGCTGGCAAATATTATAAATAATAAGAAATTGTTTTGTTTTTTTGTAACAATTGGACCCACCGGGGCTTTTCTCAAAAAAACCCGGAACCGGTGTAAAAAAAAAACTGTCCCCGTTTAAGCCCTAGTAAAAAATAAATCTGTATTTGCATCTAGGTGGCGTCGAACCCTCCGGCCCCCCCTCCCCGCACCCCATCATCAACTGTATCATCTAAATGCCTTATTGCCAGGCAGTTCCTTTGTCTTGCCAAATGTAATGTGGCGTAAAAGCTCTCTGAATATATGTCAAAACTTTGCTGTCACAGTTACAGTGTCAGTGGTGGTGCCACATTTAGACTTGCTCATGTCACTGATCGGGTCGCTATGCGGCAGTATGCTGTCAATGATCACACCAGTAAGTACTTGAACAATGTTGTGGTTTGTTATTGAATCGATAAAAAGTTTATAACAAACTTGGCCTATACGGCATAAAGTTGGACCTTCTTGTTTGCAGTAAACAAAATAAATATTAGTATCTTGGCGGATTGGTGGCAGCGCTTGATTTGTCCGACCCTCCTCGCCAACTTCTTAAAAATGTTGCGCCCTCCTAACCTATACCCCTCTTAACTCTGCACCCTTCACTCAACAATCACCCAAACCCCTCTTAATCTCGGGTCTTTAATTCCACTCCTGAACCGACATTTATAAAATTCAAATTTAAAACCAGCCGTGTCCCAGCAGTGAACAGGTGTAACAATACCAGGAATTCAACCAACAACTATTTGAAGCATGTTCTCATTTCAACCGGTGGTGTTAAATAGGCCAACTTGGGAATGATACTTACCAATGGCGAACCCATTTTATGGATTAAGTGGCTCCGTGTTCTGTTTTTGCTTCTAACAATAAAAGTTACTTAATTATGTTTTGCTGTTTTCTCTGGCACGAAAATAATTCAGTCTGTTGTAAATGTATATATTTGTGGCGCGATATTTCGCGTTCATCAGAAAATCATATACTACGCCTACAGGTTGCTGATGCTACGCCTACAGGTTGCAAATGCTACGCCTACAGGTTGCAGATGCTACGCCTACAGGTTGCAATACCACGCCTACAGGTTGCAATACCACGCCTACAGGTTGCAGATGCCACGCCTAGAAGTTTGCCTATTGCTTAATGGGACAACAAAGAGACAATAATCCTCGCCCATCATTCCAGAAAACTTATCACTGACACGCAGGGCAGTGTGAACGGATGGGCGAAGGGGGCGCCAAAATCGTCCTTAAATAGGACATTTATAGTTGAGTAAACTATAAAACAGTATGTACTTTACAAAGAGAAGGGGCGCCAAAATCGGGTTTAACTTATCCGCAACGGGTGGCACTTTTCCTTATCTATTGGAGAGTGCCATTTATCGGGCTTCGCACCGGGCGCCTAATTTCCTCGGCATGGACCCTACGTATTAGTATACAACATGAAAAAAATGGTCTAATTTTATTTCTTTTTCCAATCATTTCTTTTGTTTTGTTTATTTTCTGCAGGCAATCGTTGAGATGATAACACTGTACGAAGATGGGCGGCTCGGCCCACTTACTATTGCAAAGGACTTTGGTATTATTATTTTTGGACTGCTAGGACTAGCTACTGGAACATACACTTCTCTGTTAGATATCATCCACACTTTCTGAGTACGAATTTCAGAAGATCATTGTGAGAACATGAAGATCGCGGTGAATCTTAATGAAAACGTGTTAGTCTAATTTGAAACTAGACATCAACGCCATGGAACAAAAACACAAAAAAAAGCTGAAAAATATGTACGGTATAGAATTTCATGAAATTGTCTTCCATGAATTAAATGTTTATAAACTTTTATGCAAATATATTATATATTGGTTTAATTTTTTTTTAAAGGACGTCATTTGAGTAGAGCAGGATGCATGGGGCATTGCCCCCCTCCCCCTGGATTTAAAAGTTTTATTTAAATTGGTATGTACTGTGGGGCCTCCAGTAATTAACAACTTAACAAGCTGACCAAGTTTTGGTTTTGTCCCCCCCCCCCAAAAAAAAAAAAAAAAAAAACTGAAATGACGCCCCTGGTCTGCCTACATCTCCGTTACCTTGTGACTGTGTCTCTATTAGAATTACTTAACATAACACGTCAAGTATGTATCAAGAATGCATACAAATCATTTTAGGCAGCAACTTTTATATTAATCAATTTAAAATTAATAAAAAATATTTCTAATTTTTTGGGCCTATAATTAATGTTAAACCTATTGTCGGCTAAAGTTTTTAAAAAAATGATTCTCAGGCCTACATTCTCTTAACTTCATGCCTGTTGCTCAAAATAGTTGTTTAAAAATGTAACAAGGTTCTCGAGATCATCCTTATCGTAAGAACTGAATGGTGTCCATGCCCTCAATGTTTTATGATGAATCGTCTGAAAGTGAATGTCATTGAAATACCAAGGCTTAATAGACACACGAAAGTGAATGTCATTGCAATACCAAGGCTTAATAGGCACATGGAAGTGAATGTCATTGAAATACCAAGGCTGAATAGGCACATGAAAGTGAATGTCATTGAAATACCAAGGCTTAATTGGCACATGGAAGTGAATGTCATTGAAATACCAAGGCTTAATAGGCACATAAAAGGGAATGTCGTTGAAATACCAAGGCTTAATAGGCACATGAAAGTGAATGTCGTTGAAATACCAAGGCTTAATAGGCACATGGAAGTGAATGTCATTAAAGTACCAAGGCTTAATAGGCACATGGAAGTGAATGTCGTTGAAATACCAAGGCTTAATAGGCACATGGAAGTGAATGTCGTTGAAATACCAAGGCTTAATAGGCACATGAAAGTGAATGTCATTGAAATACCAAGGCTTAATAGGCACATGAAAGTGAATGTCATTGAAATACCAAGGCTTAATAGGCACATGAAAGTGAATGTCATTGAAATACCAAGGCTTAATAGGCACAGGGAAGTGGATGTCATTGAAATACCAAGGCTTAATAGGCACATGAAAGTGAATGTCATTGAAATACCAAGGCTTAATAGGCACATGAAAATGAATGTCGTTGAAATACCAAGGCTGAATAGGTCCTTGAAAGCGGGAGATATTAATCTCGACGAAACCAGTTCGTTTTGAATTTCATAGCTTTTCAAGAGTTGCTTTTCAAAATCGAAACTTATGAAGCAATATTCACGATACACCATGGAACGGCCCAGGCATCTGACTTGCGGTTTCATCAATTGAATGTGATACGGTAAGAATGATGATGTTGGTAAAGTGTTTTACATTTTTATGTTGAAGACAATTAAATTAAGTTTTTAACTGTAAAGTTACATTTTTCACTATAAAGTAATCTTGTTGCATTTTTTCAAAACGCTATTGTCTAGAATTATATTATCTTCTTATGTCTTGTGCCTTATTTCTTGTGTCTTATGCCTTATGTCTTGTGCCTTATGTCTTGTGTTACCTTTGAACTTAATTTACAAACATTGTTCAAAGCTATTATCTATGATATTTATTTTTTTTAGTTGGGGCGGGGTGGCCAGAGAAAGGGGGTAATACCATGATTTTACACCACTGTTTTCTCCTTAACACCCCTAGTTTGTGACAAATCAAATACCATTAATGTATCCTTTAATTTACAATACATGTATACCGTTAGCTGTAGCCGGTTATTGTGAAAAGACATCCTATATTTATAATATATTTGGATTAATTGAAATTTAAATCTTTTTTGAAAGACACCTTGAATTTCCTGAATGTATTTCTCTTCTTATTTTTTATAAAGTTACTTTGCTATAGACTAGGCCTGCACAACATTACGGCCCACGGGCCACATGTGGTCCACCAGCTCCCACGTTGCGGCCCGAAATATTCTTTTTTATTATGATTTTCTTAATAGCTTTTCCCCTGTCCTATTTTCTTTCGGTCTGCGCAAGTTTTTCGAAAAGTAATACGGCCGGCCTAACATTTTGAATCTTGCTGGCCTGCTATAGACGGCCGGCCTAACATTTTGAGTCTTGCAGGCCTGCTATAGACACTTGCAGGCCTGCTATAGACACTTGCAGGCCTGCTATAGACACTTGCAGGCCTGCTATAGACACTTGCAGGCCTGCTATAGACACTTGCTGTGCTGCTATAGACACTTGCAGGCCTGCTATAGACACTTGCAGGCCTGCTATAGACACTTGCAGGCCTGCTATAGACACTTGCAGGCCTGCTATAGACACTTTCTGGCCTACTATAGACACTTGCAGGCCTGCTATAGGCACTTGCAGGCCTGCTATAGACACTTGCTGGCCTACTATAGACACTTGCAGGCCTGCTATAGACACTTGCTGTGCTGCTATAGACACTTGCAGGCCTGGTATAGACACTTGCAGGCCTGCTATAGACACTTGCTGTGCTGCTATAGACACTTGCAGGCCTGCTATAGACAAGACACTTGCAGGCCTGCTAAAGACACATCATTTATTAATGTGGATTGAAAGCCAGTATATAGAAGAAATTATTTTGGAAAATGGAAAAGGAATTAACAAATTTTCTTGTGCGTTCGCAAGCTGCCGACTGATGCCCTCAAGCTTCCGACTGATGTACTCTAGTTTCCGACTGATGTACACAAGCTTCCGACTGATGTTCTCTAGTTGCCGACTGATGTACACAAGCTTCCGACTGGAGTACTCGGTCTCCACTGCACTGTTACCTTTCCTCCGATCTCGTCTATCTTGCCCACGTCGTCTTAGATGGCGCCCACTTGTGTACTAACTAGCGCACATATTCTGGTGAGAGTCTGAGATTACTCTCTTTTGAACCCGGCTAGTACATTGGCTACCAGCTCCATCTGTTTAGCTGAGCCATGAAAATAATCCTCCCTTAGGACTCTAACATGACCGCATCCGAAACTTCTAGGGAGGGACATTCGATTAACAGATTCGCTAGTGTTTTGGGGACCAGGCTGCAATGCCGGCAGGTAGGGTCCCTTTATTATCTATCCTGTTAAAATATGTGCCGATGGGACAGTGCTCGGTACACATCTGTGTCACTAAACTCTGCCTGCGACCTAACCCCCACCAACTGGTGTACTAAAGCTGTCAACTGATGTACTTAAGCTGCCGATTAATGTATTCATGCTGTTGACTGATATATACAAACTGTCGATTGATGTACTCAAGCTGTCGACTGGTGTACTGAAGCTGTCGACTGATGTAAAAAGCTGTCGACTGATGTAAAAAGCTGTCGACTGACGTACTCAAGCTGACAACTGATGTACTCAAGCTGTCGACTGATGTACTCAAGCTGTCGACTGATGTACTCATGCTGTCGACTGATGTACTCATGCTGTCGACTGATGTACTCAAGCTGACGACTGATGTACTCAAGCTACCGACTGATGTACTCAAGCTGCCGACTGGTGTACTCGAGCTACCGACTGATGTACTCAAGCTGTCGACTGATGTATTCAAGCTGTCGACTGATGTACTTGAGCTGTCGACTGATGTACTCAAGCTGTCGACTAATGTACTCAAGCCGCCGACTGATGTACTCAAGCTGTCGACTGATGTACTCAAGCTGCCGACTGATGTACTCAAGCTGCCGACTGATGTACTCAAGCCGCCGACTGATGTACTCAAGCCGCCGACTGATGTACTCAATCTGCCGACTGATGTACTCAAGCTGCCGACTGATGTACTCAAGCTGCCGACTGATGTACTCAAGCTGTCGACTGATGTACTCAAGCTGCCGACTGATGTACTCAAGCTGCCGACTGATGTACTCAAGCTGCCGACTGATGTACTCAAGCCGCCGACTGATGTACTCAATCTGTCGACTGATGCACTCAAGCCGCCAACTGATGTACTCAAGCTGCCGACTGATGTACTCAATCTGTCGACTGATGCACTCAAGCCGCCAACTGATATACTCAAGCTGCCGACTGATGTACTCAAGCTCCCGACTGATGTACTCAAGCTCCCGACTGATGTACTCAAGCTCCCGACTGATGTACTCAAGCCGCCGACTGATGTACTCAAGCCGCCGACTGATGTACTCAAGCCGCCGACTGATGTACTCAAGCTCCCGACTGATATACTCAAGCTGCCGACTGATGTACTCAAGCTCCCGACTGATGTACTCGAGCTGCCGACTGATGTACTCTAAGAGACGTATACCCATTAAATAAATCCAACAATTGGTAGGACTACTACTAAAAACAACTGAGTCGGTTACTGTTACTCTTCATATAATCCAGTTTTTCGTCAATATCAGTTTGAGCCTTGCACAAACAAGATGGCGATCAGGTGCCTCATCAGCCCTTCTTGTAGCTCTTGCGTCGAGTGGAGACCTCCGAAACTTCGATACATATGCGGTATATTTTATTATATGTTCTGTTTACTGAGGACAACGAAATTGCCTTTTGGATTTTCTCATGTTGGTCTATTCTGCCTAAAATAACGAGCTCAATTACAACGCAGAAGTCTGCACGTCTTTCGCCATTTTCATTTATCTCCCCTTTACTGTATCACGACATACTTTCTTCATATTCTTTATTTTATTTCCCTGTTTTAGCATTCAAATTACCAATTATGATATTTATATCTCTATCTGGAAACTTTTGTAGGACTTATGTATTTTAAAAAGCTTCTTTTTCATCTTCCTTGCTATCGTAGGTCGTGGGTACATGGCACTCTGTTACATTCATATTTAATTTCTTCTTCTTGGTTCTCTGTAATCATGTTTGGGCCCTGGGCTTCCCATCCTATTAACAATGCCCCCCGTGCACTCTGTGACACCATGAAAGCCACAACTTGCATGTGTGGAGCAGTTTCCTCCTCATGCCTTGAGCATAATAGTTTTTCTCCCGAGACAATTTTAACTGTCCAGCTTATTTCACAGGTTGTTCTTGTATCTTCTCGTTTTCATCGAGACTTTGTCAAAATTCCATCCCACGAGCCTATGCTAGCTGCTATTGAAAGGAGGGTCCCCGGTATAGAGGCTCCCAGAGCCTTGTTTCGGCCACGAGGCTTCACACCTCTTCTAGAGAAGTAGTTCCTTCCCTTAAAGAAGAAGTTCCCTCCCATATTGAAGAAGTTCCTCAATAAAAGAAGAAGTTCCTTCCCTTACAGAAGATGTACCCTCCATTAAAGAAAATGTTCCCTCCGTCTAAGATTGATTGTTTTTTCCTTGTTGACGTTTCTGTAGGTGAGGTAGTTAGCCTCACACTAACCCTCCTTTTGTTCCGGGGCTTGGAGCCAGTCCTGGCAGAATAAATTTACATTCCAATCATATGATGATTATGTTCCCATCATGATATTTTTTAAAATTATTCATTCGCATAGTTTGTAAATATTGTTATGGCAATACTTAACTTGTAATGTTCAAAACAATGCATATGTTCATTTTAATTGAACACAGTCCATGTAAACAAGTTCAAACTTGAAACAAAGAATTAAACAAACAAAAAACTATGCCTTTGACAAGTGTGTTTTCATTGACCAGTATGTAAAGTTTTTGAGCACATCAAGATGTTAGGTGAAAGGATTATGCCGAGTTATTCCAACAAGTTTTGTACAACTTTGACCTTGGAATAGGAATGAATATTACATAGTTCACAAAATAAAGTGATTACAAATGTGATAAAATTATTTAAAAAATAAAACCATTTACTTTATAGTAGTAGTGTGCAAGGCTGGGGAAAAAAATATATTTTATATTGTAAATGTAGGTATATTTAAAATTTACTTATAAAAAGAAAAATTTATTAAGTAATGTAATAAAATTATGTTGTTGTTTTTTTTTTAAAGTCTAGTATTGTATCATAATAAGTACAAGTGAATATATCAACATTTTAGATCAAGTCAAATAAACAATGTATACTTTAACTGCTGATATGTCATTAGACATTTGTAAACCTTTTTTTAAAAAACAACATTTTTGGGCAAATTTATCTTTGAAAAATCCTGCTACTTCAGTGATAATATATATGATAAGCTTTAATAAATTCATTACAAATATTTTGAGGCCTCACGCTCGTACTTGTTCAGCATGTTTATACCATTTTTTTAAAAAAGAATTATTAGTTTAAAAAATATTTTAATGTGAATGCTAAACAAACTTATTAAAACTTTAAATGTCAAAAAAAAAACTAACAAAATATTTTGGATCAAGAGAACACAATATGTTCAAAATTTAGAAACTAAATTTGAACTAACGGAATAAGAAACTTGTTGGCTAATGCTACTTGATCTTCAGAAATTATATTTTCACTTAATCATTAAATAAAAGACTAACAAAGTCAGGTTTACGAATTATGAATAAAAATAGCACTAGGCGCCTTTGCTAGCAAAATTTCTGTCAGCAACAGTAATTATAAATTCTTATTCTCAAATATAATTTTAATTTAATGAAGTAAAGTCCAAATTATATTATATTAACATTTCAAAATAGGATTATATATTCCTGTTTCATCTGAAAATAAAAGCAAAAACAAAACAACACAACACAAACATCTGCTGTTAAATGGTGTTGTTTTTTTTCAAATGTACCTACATAAAATATTTTTTTACATATTTAAAGCATGAATAATATAGACACTGAACATTATTTTACATTGTATTGTTTTGCAAATCCAGTAAATCAAAATAAAGAAACTTTATCAAGGTTTTGATTACAGCAAAATCAAAACTTAAAGGTAAATGGAATGTGTTACAGTGGTTGTGCCAAATAATTCATAACTCTTTACTGTCGATTTCATGGCACCTCCTGGCCATTACTAGGTCGAATATGATTAAACCAATATACATAACAATAGCAATAAAATGCTTAATCTAAACTGAATGGCATAGGTCTGGTTGAATAAAAAAAGTAATTTCCTGTGTCTGAAAATGAAAACGATTAGAAAAATCTATCAACCGTTTATGTAAGTAATTTTCAGCCAGTTGCGGATGATGTTCTTTTCTTGGATCCTAGCACTGATAACCGCTCTGGTGTCCAGTGGGTTGGAGCCCCTTAGGTCAAGGTGATGGGCGCCATAGGGAATTTGTATGGCCACTACAGTATCAGATATGGACTCCATTACTCCTCCACTTGACCATGGGTCATACAATCCATTGCTGGAAAAATTGAAAGAAATCATCACTTACAAAGAATTTATAAAGGAAATAGTTTTGCAATTGCAGAGATATTTATTAACGCTTTCAGTTACACATCAAATGCAGTCTAAAGCCTACATAAAAAATAAAATGTAAAATAGTGCATTCAATAAATTATGTGTACTGTTGCCTCCACTCAACTTATTTCAGCTAAAATTTTATTTCAAATGCAACAAATAACGCAAGAGCTTACAAAAATGTCTTGTATTTTTCGAAGCTACATTACCTAAATATTATATTGGAGGTTTCCTTTAGCTGTTTCGCCCAATATTCAAGTGCCACCCAATTTTCCCTTGGCCGAACCTTGTACTTTTCAAAACATTTGTCACTAACTTCCTGGAAGTCCCATGGAATGTTGTAAAACATGTTAGTGTTGTTACTGCACATTGGCATCACCATTTCTGTACAGCTCTGTGTGTGAAAATGATCTTATGTTTGTTATTTCAAAGATTCGGAATACATAGTCAACAAATCAGTAAATGAAATTATTAAATAATGACAATGGCAATAATAACATTAAAGGCAAAGTGCTGCAATAAAACCAAAGCTCAGTGGTAACATGTCCCAGGAACTAGTTCAGGTAATTTGAAAAAAAGAATAATTAGACACAAACAATTTGTGTAAACAAAACAATATAAGATCAGCTTTAATAATGATCATACAGAATACATATGTAGATGTTTTGGCAAATGCTTTCATCAGTTAAAAAACAAATTAAATTGTTTAAATTCATAAATTAAATTTACAAAATATAAATATGTATCCTACCTTAAAAGGAGATCAAAGAATAAGAGTGAACGCAAGTCCCTGACAAAAATAAAGTTCAAAAGAGCGGAAAGGAAGTGAGTGGAAGTGAAATTTTAAAAACCAAACAGGAAAAAGACATTGCAGCTAAACCAAACAGGAAAAAGACATTGCAGCTATGTCAAATTGTGAATTTGGTTTATACCATATGGAGTCAACGTACCTAATCTTGTTATTAATTTATTTTCCATTTATATTCTATCTTGTGTATTATTTGCATAAATTATACCAGAAACTGCAATGCCTAAAATTCCATTATGGTTAGCACTATTGAAATGTTTGGAAGCTGCCTTGTGGTGATGTACCTGGTAGTCCCAGCCTTTTGTTCCTAGTGATGCATCTGCGCTCCCATCATCTGTCCAGTTGACACAATTTGTGTTGCCTGTGAAATTGTAATAGAGGTTGGTCACCTTACCCAATGCTGCAAGTAGTGGTTTCCCATCCAGAGGATCAGATAAATAACTACATGCTACCTGAAAAATTTATCAATTTATGTAAGCAATGTTTCATAAGTGTTGTATGAAAAAAAAAGCTAATTTTATTACATTTTAAGCTGAACAATTAAATGTATATTTAAGAATGAATATAAATTTGATTAGTAAATGTCTTCAACTAATTCATTTCAGTATTTTTTTTATTTTTTGCAAAATGCCATTAAAGTTCTACCTTGATTGGCCAAGCAGGCAAATCGGCCAGGAATGACGCTGGGTAAGGGTAGTTAACCATAGCCAAATCTGTATACATCTCAACTAGGAAGTCCATAAATGTTTCAAGATCATACTTTGAGGCCAAAGGTGTGCACAGCCCAAAAGCCTTCTGAATAAACTCAAAACCACCAGCTGCATTAAAAGTAATTTGATATTATAATGTCATGAAGACTCAGGAAATGATCATTTACCAAACAAACAATTGAAATAACCATTCAATAAGTTTTGCAAGAATCTAGAGAATTTGAAGAAGAAAAACAAGTTTTGGCTCATCCCTTATTTAAACCCAATAATGCAATTTTCATTTGATGGAAACCAATTATTTTTACATCATTGACCAACAGTGGCAGGAATAATATATTATAAATAAGCTAACAAAATGCCTCTTCAAAATGAATTAATTTTCCCCAGTAGCTTAAATCATTCATTGAAATTTCAGTATAAACAGAAATTCAATGGCAATGAGACAAAGTGTTACCTGGGTAGTTAATAATTATATCACATTTTATAAAAAAATGCCAGTACCAAAACTCACATAAGGAAACATATGGGTTCAAAGTTCACATTCCTCATGATGCTCTCTAAAAAAATGTTTAATGTCAGCCACTAGAGTACTCAGATTTCGACCAAATTACTTTTGAACTGTCTTTGTATCAAGAGGTATTATCATGCGAAATTTGGTTGTAAACTTTTTACTAGTTTTAATGTTTATGGTTAACATATAAATACATATACATACTTTGCCCTTTATATAGTAGATCAGTAGGCCTACACTACTTAATACAAGTGAAATTGAAACAAAATCAGATAGTTGTGAGGAGAGACCATTAATTAGACAATTTTTCAACAAACCTGATTCAGCAATAGTAGCCAGTACATTGTAAGATCTATGAACATTTTCTACACAAGTTGTTGATGCATCCAACCAAGTCTTACTTGTCACATCATAAAATGCATTGCAGGGAGTTAGGTCTGTGAACTGCCAGATTGGAGCTGATGATGCTAGTGCCCTAACAGATAGTGCAGTGGAGTGAAAAATATGAAAAGAGGGTAAATAATAAAAAATAGCAAATTAAGTACTGATAAAAAAAAAAAAAGATTTAATATAAATTTTACTACAATGATATGTATGTATGTAATGCTATTTAATTTTATAAAATTTTTATTCCCTATCTTTCTTTGAAAAATAATAATAAAGATAAATCATTTTAAAGAGTTTAGATTAACGGTCAAGAATAATTTGTTTGATTTTTAATAAATGTTTTCATCAAACCAAAAAGTTCGTTTTTCATGTTGTTAAAAGATCATTTTAGCAGAAAGCAGATAAAGGTTTGGAAAAAACAACAACTCCAACTCACCCTATTATCACATTTGGATACTTAATCCTCAGCCAGGCTGCCAGCATGCCTCCATAAGATCCACCAAAAGCAACGACTGCGCTATTTTCTGCACCAGGAATTGTTGTCTTTAAGTATCGGATGTTTTCAGCAAAGTCTGCCAGGGCCTGCTCTGATGTCAGGTAATTCAAAAGACTAACATTCTGAAATAATTGGAAAGAGCTTTTGATGTTTAACGGTTGACTAAGTTAATGTAAGAGGGTGGCTTCATACTTTTATGAAATAAATAAATATGTCTTAGACTTGAGAGAACAATTATTTTTATTTATCGTATAATTAGTTATAACTTTGAGTATGTAAAGGAATTGCTTATTTCGATGTCCCATATTCTTATTACCCTTGCCCTTAATTAAAGTTATTTATTTCAAAAATCCTTTAGGAAGACTTTCTTCTTTGAAACCTGCAGACCTAAACAACACTTTTCTATGGGAAAATACATATGGCTTCTGTACTCCATATATCTAACTTATTTTTATCATTAATGACATTTTAGCACAGTGTGGTTAGGAGAAAATTTGATAAATAATGTAAATAAAAATAAAGTGTTAAATTCTTAAAAATGTAGGCCATGGGAGATAACCTTATAAGTATCCTGTCCAAATGGCAGAGATTCCCCATAGTATCGATGTTCTGCAAAGACAAGCATTGCATTAAATTCAGGTGCTATGTCCCACATGAAACCCTAAAAAATAAGAGACATCAAAGAAAATCAAAAATAAGTTTGATTTTTTAAATTTTATAGTCAACAATGCACAAATAAGTATACACATAATCTTTAAAAAGGGCCAAATATTTTTTTCAGCAAATACTAATTGGTATGAAAACAGTGTAATATGAGTAGTACTAGTAATAATGTTGGATACCTACAGTATTATTACAAAACCAGTCAATATCTCCTTCGTTTCCAGTATAGAAAAAAATGGGACCCCCATTTCTATTCCAAAACTGATCTGCAACAAGGATCCTTTGCTTAAATGTTTGGCCATTGGTGAAACCAAAGTGATCAATCTAAGTAACAAAAAGAAAACAGCATTAAACATTGTTCAAGCAACTAGTCCAATAATAACTAGCTTTTAGTAAGAAAAAATTCTTAAAATTTTGTCAAAATATTAAAAACGTACTCAAAATGTACATTACCACACTTTTAGAGGAGACTTTTAAAGTTTTAAACTTATAACTATAACAAATCTTAGATCAGACATGTAAATGTAATTTTGCTCACCTGCTGGTCATAATACAGTGTTTTGTAAGAATATCCTCCATTCGAATTTAACTTCCCAGATGATGTCTCATTATTTTTTACAATAGGAAGTTGTTGGTCCTGTTGCCATGAGTTTACATGACTCAGACTGCAGCACAGAAACAAAACAAGGCACTTTGTTGTGACCATTGCCATTTCTGGAGAGAAAAAAAGAATAACTACAGCTATGGCCCATATAGCATGTTCATGGAAGTTTAATTTGAATAACATTGTTTTCAGTTTAACTACGGGAAGATTAGCCTATGTCATGTATTATTTTAACTAGCACTGCAGAGACTAGTAATCCTTGAAGAGTTTCAGCCCTTTCCTGTGAATTTTTGGCAATACTTGATTATTCTTCCGTCAATATTTAATATTACTGTTTATAATAATAAAGTTCATTTCAAAAACATGCTTCATCCCTAATTGAGGCTCGAATTAGGGTACAAAGTCAAACATACATGACAATTTATATTTTTCCACATTAAAATACAAAATGCAACAATACAAAGTCTACATACAAGCTAATGGACAATACAAGCCAATATACATCGAGGAATATGTGCAACCTGGAAACAAGTTTTAATGACTGTTTTAGCCAAAGTGTTTGAAATATTACTTAATTGATAAAGAAAAATAAAGACGCATTAGAACCTCATCCAATAAAGCTTGTCAAAGCAAAATTCTTGCAGTTTGCAGCTCAACACATAATGGGATATTAATGAAGTAAATTATAGGACTATAGGCATACTAATCATAAACTTTTTAAAATACTATACTTCTAAGATAAGATAAGATACTTTTATTGATACAAACAAATGGAAATGTGTTTTGATTGCATTGTTCATTTTCAGCATATAAATAAAACAATTTGAACACAAGACATCTACATTAAATTAATTTACTAGTTAAAAAAACAGCCATTCAGTGAACTCTCTTAGCCATTTCTGGGGCTTAATAGTTCTCATTTAGTTTTGGGACTTCTTGGGGAGTACGCTGCTAAATTCGTACAGATTGGGGAACAAAAATTTGTTTATATCTTTCAGTCCTCGCCCTGAGAGAAAGAATTTGTCCCGAATTGGACAATCCTAATTATCTGTGATGAAGATAAGCTAGTACCGTATCCAAAACTTAAAAATTAAAATATTGTACAACTGGTTCTGGTAGGATACGTTGCTGAATCCATGTACTGGCATATGTGCAACGGTTGGGGAAGCGATGCTGCTATCTTAACGGCTCCTAGCAGATGCCAGGGCAGCCTTGAAGCTCTCGATTGGCATCAATATTTGTCAAATAATTACTTATAGTACTGACCACTGTAGTAGTAGTAGTATTCATTATAAAGTCTACAATTTACAACAAAGCTAAGCTTCATAATTATAAAAATTACTATGGTTAACTTTTTGGTGACTTTGCATAACTTTACCCACAGCCACTTCTGGGATCAATACCTTCTAACCTCACTCAAACTCAAATGCCTATGGTTGATCATATAATGGATTATACTTATCACTTATGTGATTAAGTAGGCCTAAACGGAAATGCCCTCTCAATAACCGTGATAACTGGCAAGGCATGGAGTAAACGCTAATCAAATGTACCTTGTAATTCAAAGTTACAGAATTATGTTATCTACGAGTATGATGAGATTGATATTTTACCATTGAAGATGATAGTTAAAAGGTCAAGGGGTCATTTTGTAAATGTAGACCTAATAATTACTTTTCAAAAATATTTAATTAAATATTAAAATAGATCATGATAAAGTCTATAGTACAGACTTTTGCTAAGGTTTACTTTAATTATAGTTGAAAAGTCGGATCATATTAAACCTGACAACAAGACGGCACTCCTCAGAACAGCGGCCCCAAATTTTAATAGAATACTATTCATTAGAAAGTGTCCGGCTACCAGCCTTATAGCTGCCGATAATTATTGACGTAATTTTTAAAATCAAATTTTGTTTGCAGACTAATTAGTGCTTGTAATAATATAAAATGAACAATACCAAGGCTGGCAGAACGCAAGCCCCGGTTCATATTTCAAATAATGTCTTGTCAGGAAACATTCTAAAAACGTATGACACAATGCCGACGACGAAGGCACTACTGTATACATTGAGTCTGAACAGAAACAAACACTGACTAATATAAAACAGCAATTCAACACAGAAAACTTTTGTTTCTCTCTTTCATTTTTCTTTCTTTTTCTTTTCTTTTTTTTCCAGAAGATGATGATGATGATGAAGAGGCTAATGAAGATTGCGATCTTTAAAAAAATGAATACATTTAAATCACCAATTATCGTTGGCTATTAGGCTGGTAGCCGAACAGTTTCTAATAAATAGTATTCTATTTTTAATTTTGGACCACTTTTCTGAGGAGTGCCAACAAGAATTTCTCTAGTTTATGTACATTTTTATTATTACTATCAATTACCATGTTATTAATGTTAAAAGGACAATAGTTATGGGTCTTTGTTGTTTATGATTATAAATTATGAGCTCAAAGTCAAAGGAAATGCTCTTACTTTGACTACTGAAGTTCTTAGTCTAAATAATTTTAATTTCATGTCCTTACTCAACTTACTCAGACTTACTTAACTTACTGACTTACTCACAACTTTCCCAGTCATGATAATATTGACATTGAATACAATAGGCTAATTTGGAGAGATAGCACTGACGTCATTTGCATGTTTTGTCCCTGGTTCACGGTGGTTTGGTTCCGATAGAGTCAAAACCCTGGTTCCGATAGGGTCAAAACCCAGGTTAGTGATAAGTTTAGGGTTCAGGTTAGGTTTAGGGATACATTTTGGACATAAGTTCGCGGCAACCAAGATGGCGGCTACGGTGATCTCTCTCCAAATTTACTAATATTAGTATTAGTCATTAGTCATTAGTGTAACACTAAGTGTAAGATTGTGCAGAGTGCAGCGTCACTGGCGTCAGTGTTAGTTACTACTAACTCTTACACTTACTCTAAGTTAGTTGGAGTTAGAGTCTGACTGTAAACTTTACTTACTTTTACTAAACTAAATGAATGTAAATAATTAATTACACACACAAAAACTCACGAAGAAAGCGTCAAAATCTCCCGTTAAATTGGCGTGGGTCGTTAATCAATATCATAAAGTAGGTCTATTATTATCAATAAACATTATAAAGAATGCGTTTTTAAAAAAAAATAAAATGTAGACTAATTCAATACCACAGTCCGTTAAAATACTTAATCAGAAACAACCGTGTCACATGATATAATTTTTATCACGTGACTAAGTACCGTAAAAAAAAAAACTCATCTAATTTTTAAATCCTTAATTAATATTAACTTCGCTTTTGATCGTGGCTGGCTGGGTGGGTGGCGGACTGGCAAAATCTTCGGACAACTATAAATTGACCCACTTCCCGTCAATCTATCAAACTGAAACTTGGCACATAGACTCGATGACAATACATTCTATAAAATGTTCAGCCCCAACCCCCAAAAATCACCCGTTTTCAAAGGGAAGATGAAGGAGATGTAATGACACTGATAACATTGATAAAAAGCCTTATAAGAAATATTGAAATACTTTTTTCTTTAAATAAATGTTAGAACCCCTGAGGGCTGTGAGCATGCTAAAATCACATGGCACGTGCTTTAAAATTATGCAATCATCCTCATCACTGATTACTGATTTAACGAAATGAAATTCCCGATAACTGAGCTAAATGAAATTCTATTTTTCTTTCTTTACGCATTTGGTGCGTAATATTTTCTTTTGTTTTCTGAAATGGTGAAATAAATATGTGGTGTAAAAGGGGTTTCTTTACGCATTTGGTGCGTAATATTTTCTTTTGTTTTCTGAAATGGTGAAATAAATATGTGGTGTAAAAGGGGGGGGGGGCAGTGGCCAAATGTGCTTTGCGAAGCTTGAGGGGAGGAGGGGCACTAATTGGGATTTTTATAAAGTGCGTTAGTTGAATACATGTTTTGTCGAATTTTCAGTCACAATCCCCATTGAGGGCTTGATATTATATTTTCTAAGGATTTATACAAAAACCTTTGTTTTTAGGGGTTGTTTAATTTATTCTAAGCTTTTTCCTATTCCTAGGTTGCGCTGTCCATTTGTGGTGCAATCTTGCATCTCAATTAAGACCCACTTATTCCTGATTTTCAATTGAGCTAAATCTTTCGTGAGTCGAAATGGCCATTATAAAAAGAATAATAATCATGTAAATTTAATTTATGTTATTTACCTTACCTGCCTTGACTACCTTTCTAACACTAATACTAATTATCTATCAATTAAATAAATTGTATTTTAAATTAAAAAATAATTTACGCAGAAAACTAAGTTTACAATTATACAACAACAACAAATCATTATAGTGGGATCTTTGTTTAGGATCTACCGTGTTAACGACAATAACTTATCACTGACGATCGATATATGAAATGGTGCGACAAGCAATCATTTCGGATACATTTTGGCTACTAAAAATTAAATAGGCATATATATATGAACGAAGTGGCTATAGGTACCCGAGTACCCATCATCGCTAATGACTATTCGCACCCGAAAGTCTTAGTAATCGAAAAAAAAACATGATCCGAACCAGAGGCTTAATAATCGACAAGATTGCCGCGCTTTCTTTTATAAAAATGGAGGTGGGCAGCATTTTTGACACCTATGCGTCTCTTTTGAAGACGAATTGAATTATTTTTGTAAAGAATACAATGTGTGTTTCACTAAAAGATCGTCAGAGAAGATGAAAGATCCCAATTTGGAACACCTTAAATATGAATATATAATTCACTGTTGCAAACAAGGTGTTAAACGTAAAGTCAAAGTCGTCAACGACAACAGGCCATTCATAAAGTAATAATAATAGGTTAACTTTAAATTTAGTTAATCTTGGCATGTAATAATTCTTTCTCCAAGCCAATGATTATTACCACGGTAAATGTAGAGGACGAATGCCACTATTTTATCGATGGCCATGATTAATGTATCCCTAAATCGATCACTATACTATGCCTAACCTGAACCCTAAATCGACCTCTCAACCTAACCTAAACCCTAAATCACTGCAACTATAATAAAGAAGCAAATGACGCCGTGGCATTCGTGCTCTACATCAGCCCTTACCACTTTTGGCAATTCGTTGAGAATTTTTATATTTTTCAGTTCTTTCAAATTGGGATGCCAGGCAAAGATAAAGTTTGTTGCCAAGAGAAATCCATCTCGGCTAGAAATTACCAAATCAATGCATGAACATACTGAATACTGGCCATGAAGTATCAAAAGAAGTAAGTGCATGTGCTGCGAAAAATATTTACATAATAATATATTTTAAAAGAATGTTTTGTACCATGCATTAACCCATTCAATCTAGGGCGCTCAGAAATTTTATCACTGAAAACTTTTGGTTAAGGTTAGGGTTACCACCCTTACCATAGAAAGGTTTTGAAAAAAATTAAGACAAATCTATTTAACAGTATAATTAAATTTAATAAATTCTAAATAGTCCAAACAAAGTTTTATATCTTAATTTTGATTATTGTGACATATAATAAACAAAACATTTATCCCCAAGGTGAAGGTTAGTTATTTTTATGTACACAGCGGTGAGCCTAGCCCTAGGCTGGGGTACCGCACTATATAAGACCAATGTTCCCTCTAAGGTTTGTTGTTTTGTGTGCAAAATCATACAGTTATGTGCAAAGTTTTACAGCATCAATTTTTTTGTGTGCAAAATTTTACAGTCCAGAAACACAAACACACACTTAGAATGAAATTTGCTGTGCGGATACTCAAAACTGCTGCGCAGCGCCTGTGAGATGGCTGCGCGGCAGCTCAGCTTAAAGGGAACCTTTTATAAGACCACTAATAATAATAATGTTTGCAGAGCATATTTTTTTACATAATACTTATTATTGCAAAGTAACCTTTGTGTATTTTTTTCCAGATGTGCCGCTTGTATCCGGAAAACCGCAAGGTGGAACTAAATGCGGCAGCGCTTCTGTTGATGTCCTGCACCACGATTCAGGCATCTGAGGCCCGGCAAGTGCTTGAACAACAGCATGATGTGGATTTGCTTCCCAGGGACATTTACAATATTAAGTCAAGAATAAATAAATCATCTTCTGATGCAACTGAAACTCAATCTATACTTCATTCTATATCACAAGCTGGTGGAAGTGTGTCCTATGGACTAACAGAAAGTGGGGAATTTAAGTATTTATCATACATGACTGATGATATGATTAGAATTATTGCCCAATATCCAGAGGTTTTATTAATGGATTTCACATATAAAACCAATAAATATTTATATCCACTTTTGACTGTAATGGTTATTGATGGAGAGGGCAGGGGCATTCCTGTTCTTCATGGTTTTGTAAAAAATGAAGATAAGGAATCTATTTCTCTTTGTTTGCAGCTTCTTCTGAAGAATTCTGATGCCAGTCTTTTCAAGTGCTTTGTGGTTGACAAAGACATGGCTGAAATCTCTGCTATAAATGATCTCTTTCCAAATGTACCTGTTAATCTATGTCATTTTCACATTAACCAGGCTGTGCACAGGTTTCTTTCGAAACATGTAGGTCCTGAGCATGTTAAGCCAATTCTTGAAGGATTTATGTCTCAAGTTTATACTGAGTCGTGTGATGAATTTTTAAAGTTGATGCAAGACATGAAAGATACTCTTCCTGATGTAGCTTTGGAGTATTTTGAGTCAAACTGGTGGAGTAAGGCCCATTTATGGGCAGCATCATCCAATGCTGATGTTTTAAGACTCCATGCGACAACAACAAATCACTTGGAGTCTTATCATGCCAAAATAAAAAAGAGTTTGACTCATTATCTTTCTTTTTCATCTGCTCTTCGTAACCTTATGTCTTTTGACAACTGCAAAATTACAGTATGTGATCGTTTAAGATTGCTTGCTGCAAACACAGCTCAGTATACGTCATCTGATAATGATGAAAGTGTAAATAAGATTGAAAGTGTTGCTACTTCCTTTGCTGCTGCTCTATTGCTCAATCAGCTCAAATTGTCACGATCTGTTCCGTACTCTGTTGTCCCTGGAGAGGCAGAACTTTTTTCAGTAGCTTATAAGGAACGTATTTTTAGCTCAACATCAGTTCAATGTAATTGTTCATTTGCTAAAAAGATGGCATTACCTTGCAGACATATTTTTTCAGTTCGAAGACATTTACAGCTTCCAGAATTTTGTTCAGAGTTAATTCCATGCCGTTTTAGCAAACATAGTGTTCCTAGAGTGGTTGCTTCTACTTCTAGTGGTTCAGTAACTTCTCAAATTGTATCTACTAGAAACAATAATTTTAAGACTCAAGAGGGTCGGTTTAATCATGCTAAAAGAATTTGTATGGGCTTGGCAAATTTTTTGGCGATGCAAGGAGAACAAGATTTTGTAGAGAAAATATCCTTTCTTGAAACTACTATAAGTCTCTGGAAAAGTCCTGAAAATTTAGATGAAAATGAATCGGGGTCACAACTTGATGAAGGTGAACCACAAACAAGTTTCATTCAAAGTCAACTAATTGATTTTGTTGATATAAATGACATTCATTTTTCCCACGAGGAAACAGTTGCTGCAAATAATTTCGAAAAAATTGAAACTGAAAATAGTATTAATTCCTTTGGGAAGCTTAACTTTGACAGAGTTCGCCCAAAGGGGCGACCGAAGGTAAAGCAAAATTTTACCCTGAAAAGAAAAAGATAGCTGCCCCAACAATTTTCCACTACTTGTATAAAATAAATATGTGAATGTTTGTAAATAAATGGCTGTCGCTATTCAAACCCGGGTCCAATAGACCAATGCTATTCGGATGTCATTTGTGGTAATTTATTTTAGTTAATGTTCCTTTAGTTAAACTGAAGAATTAAGTTTACAAACATATAGTCCATTCAATTATCTTTCATTTGATACC